CGGTCCTCATTTCCCTGACCCTGAAAGAGCCCCCAATATGCCACTGGGCTGCACTAGCACACGACAGGGATGAATGGAGACATTACTGGCACCCGCTCGAGCAGATCGATGAACAAGGGGATGACAGTGATATGGTGATGGTATGACTATGCTAGTAGACTGATAGCTTTTAAGTTTTTGGGGGAGTGGGGACACACCCAGTGGTGCTTAGGCTTGCTCCTGGCTCCATGCTCAGAGGTCACTCTGGTGCCACGTGGGGTGCCAAGGATCAAACCCAGGTCAGCCGCACGCACAGTAAGTGCCCTGTCCACTGTCGTATCGCTCTGGCCCCAGCCCTGAAAGATCTTAGGTGAGTACTGCATCATCCTCCAGAAGCGCATCCCGAGCACACCCAGCGGGTGAGCGGGCGTCATGCCAGCTCGGATACCTGAGGTCGCCTGGTCAGTGGGGAGAGAGAATCATGTGGGGGGGGGGAGTGGCCATAGCCAGGCGTCCAGCCTTCTGCCTGCAATGCCCTGATTGACACAGAGGGCAGGGGAAGGGTTCTCAGCCTGGGTCCTGGAGGGCTGGTAGCCCGCGGCCTCCTGGGTGCAGCTCAGTGAAAACCCGGCCACGCCCCCAAGCCATGGGGCCCAGTTCCTCCAGGTGCCCCACTTTGAGAACCCCCGCTGCAAGGGGTGGAAAACAGGAGTGTGGGAGCACTGGTTTCCTGGGTTCTGGACCAAGGGAGGACACGGGGGCTGGCCCCCACAGCTGTGAAAAGACAGCAGGTGGGGGGCTGGAGCAATAGCCCAGTGGGTAGGGCGTTTGCCTTGCATGACCTGGGTTCGATTCCCAGCATCCCATATGGTCCCCCGAGCACCCCCAGGAGTAATTCCTGAGTGCAGAGCCAGGAGTAATCCCTGTGCATCAGCGGGCGTAAGCCCCCCTAAAAGAAAAAGAAGACAATGGGACGGTCCCACAGGCTCTAGACTCAGTGCCTCGGGGTTCAGAGATGTCCCTTGTCCTCCTGGTCCCCTTTCCTGGGACCCCAGTGAGAGTGTGGGGGACATGACCCAGAAGAGGGAGAAAAGGAATGCAGGGGTGGGGCTGGAGCTGACCTTGGGGAGCAGGGTCATCGCGGGCTCAGGGCTCAGGCTGCCCAGGGCTGCCACGCTGCTTCCGGAATGGTGGTCTCTCCCACGGAGGGGTCGGAGTCGGGTGCGAGGGACTAGGAGCCTAGCCCCCTGCCGTCTGATGGCCTCTCCGGGAAAAGCAAACCTTAGCTGACCCCTGGATTGGAGCTCGAGAAAGCTGGGGCATTTCTGCCGGGGCCACTGGACAGCCGGCTTTATTGAAGGGCCATGGGGAGAAAGGGCACCAAGGGACAGTGTGCTGCCCCTGCAGCCCCGCCCCCACACCCCTCTCACCACCCCCTGCTGCTATCCGCCATCCTTCAAGGTTTGAGTCAAACTCCCCCAACTCTGGGCTGCTCCTGCCCCCAGGCAGAGCGGGGGGTGAGGGGGGAGCTTGCCTGCTGCCCCCTCCCCCACGGGGTCCCAGTCCACAGCGTCCATGGGACCCAGCTTGGGGCTTTATGGCTTCTCCCAAAAGTCGGGCCGGGGATGCTGGCAGGCTGACGGGAATCAGGAGACCATGGGCCGGGTTTTCAGGAGACAGTGGAAAAAGGCTTTGCTGGGGCTGGAGCGGTAGGTAGCACAACGGGGAGGGAGTTTGCCTTGCACGCGGCCGACCCGGGTTCGATTCCCAGCATCCCATCGGGTCCCCCAAGCACTGCCTGAGTGCAAAGCCAGGAGTAACCCCTGGGCATTGCTGGGTGTGACCCCAAAAATTAAAAAAAAAGGTTTTGTTCCCCCCCACCTCCACCCACCCGAAGGAGCAAGAGGGTCTCTTGCCCCCCTTATCCACAAATCAGGTAGAGAATGTGGCCCTGGAGAAGCCCAAGTGCCTGACACACAGACCCTCATCTGACTCATTCCCCAGGGTGCGTCCACACGTGGCCAAAAGGACAATCATTCCCAAAGCCCAGAGCTTCGAACAAGTGCGGGGGGGTGGGGAGGGGAGCAGGGGCAGGGATGGGGCAGCGGCTTCCCTGGGTTCCCCAAGGCTCGGGGCGTCTGGGGTAGGTGCAGAAATACGTGAGCCACACCCCTGCCTGCGGTGCCCCAAGCAGCAGGGAACGTTGGCTCGGGGCTCCAAGCCTGACTTGGAATCCTGTGTGTAGTTGGTTGTTTCAAAAGGAGAAAGCGGGACGTGGGGGGAGGGGGGCGGGCGGGGGCGGGGTGGGACACGGTCTCTTTAGAGCTCAGGGCTCAGAGTCATAAAGGAAAAGTACGGAGGGTGACGGAGCTCAAAGCAAGCTGGATTGGGAGGTTTAAAGGCTGGTTCTGTGCTGGAATTGCGGTTATGTAAGACGCCAGCGGCGGGGCAAAGGGTGACAAGGTTCACCAAACTCTAGATGTTATTTTCGTGACTTCCTGGAAGCCTCTAATTATTTCCAAATAAAAGGCAAAAGGGAAGGTGTGCACGGCTCTGCTCTGAGAGCGGGGGGTAGGAGGAATCGCTCTCGGCAACCACAGCTCGTGGGCCCAAGGTGGGGGGGATCCCTGCCTTCCGTTTCCTCCCTGCTCCTGTGTACAGCGTGGTACCTCCCCATGAGGAACAAAAGCAGGCGGCTTAGGGGGCCCCAAAGGACCCCTAAGCTTGACCCAGGAGGGGGCGGACCATGTGACTAAAGGAGACTGTGGAGGCAGAGCTGACGGCACTTTGGGGGGACACAGGATGGGCCGATGGGCCTCCATCCCTCAGCTCACCTGCTAACCCCAGCACCTGCATCTCCCTCAGAGTCGGCGTTCCCGCTAGGAGGAGGAGACTCAGGGCCCGGGTCACAGGGGTGATGGCACAGGCACAGGCGTGCAAGCAGCCCAGTCCACTCCAACCCCCAGCCCCATGTGGTCCCCCAGGCTGCCCCAGAGGGACCCTAAACCCTGGAACCCTTGGCCTGAGCAACAACACACGCTCCGGCCCCTCACATTGAACCGCAGGCCCGGCTGACAGAGAATCTCTGGGCAGGTGTCCAACCCCTCCCTGACACACTGCTTTGGAAGACCCTCTTCCCCTGCAACATTATATATATATATATATATATATATATATATATATATATATATATCACTGTCACTGTCCTCCCGTTGTTCATTGATCTGCTCAAGTGGGCATCAGTGACGTCTCCATTGTGAGACTTGTTGTTACTGGTTTTGGCATATCGAGTACGGCACGGGTAGCTTGCCAGGCTTTGCTGTGCAGGCGAGATACTCTCAGTAGCTTGCCGGGCTCTCCACGAAGGGCGGAGGAATTGAACTCAGGTCGGCCGTGTCGGTCGCATGCAAGGCAAACGCCCTCCCCGCTGTGCTGGAGCAATAGCACAGCAGGCAGGGCATTTGCCTTGCATGCGGCTGACTGGGGTTCGATTCCTCCATCCCTCTTGGAGAGCCCCGTAAACAACCGAGTGTATCCCATCCGCATGGCAGAGCCTGGCAAGCTCCCTGTGATGTATTCAATATGCCAAAAACAGTAACAACAAGTCTCACAATGGAGCCATTACTGGTGCCCGCTCGAGCAAATTGATGAACAACGGGACGACAGAGCTACAGTGCTATATATATATGTGTGTGTGTATGTGTGTGTGTGTGTATTTATATGTTAAATGGACACTCAGAAATTCGCTCGCAATGGACACTCAGGCAAAGGCAAGTTCCCCATGAGGGCAGAGTGGGCTAGGGGTGGCCAGCCAGGCAGACAGAGGCCCTGGGTAACCCTGGGAAGTACCGTGAGTAGTGCATTCCCTGTGGGGCCACCTTGGGCAGCAGGACTGGACATCAAGAAGGTGGGTGGGGCACCCCACGTCTGGCACCTCTGACGGGTGACAAGACTGGCCCAGCACGCACCCCCACCCCCAGGGTGCACCCCACCACATGGGGCCAATAATGGGTCAGAGGCTCTGGACCCCTCTTCCAGTTCAGCGGATCCCAAGGCCCACACGGGGGTTGGGACATAAGTGAGGGCAGTGAGGAGATGGTGTGGGCATAAGAATGGAGGCTGGAGCATGGGTGGGAACTCAGGAGTTGGAACTCCTCTGAGCAGGCCCAGGATGTGGGACCACAGCATCCCTGAAAGAAGAAAGACGGGGGGCTCCAGGGAGCAGGGCTGGGGTGGGGATGAGCAAAAAAAGGAAGCGGGGTCAGAGTGAAGGACCAGTGAACGGGGAGGTGGCCTTGTGCCCAGCCAGCCCAGGCTTGATCCCCGGCACCACATGTGGTCCCCTGAGCCCAGTCAGGCCAGGACTGGCTCCCAAATGAAAACAAAACCAAAGGAAAAGGAAGGGGATTCGGGCATGGGAGGAAGAAGTGGCATCCTGCAGAGAAACACCACCAGGAGGGAGATTAGGCCCCTCTGTCCCCCACACACACATGCAGTGACGTGGGGTCAGCCAACAGGGTCTCCCCAGGCCCCTCCCTTCAGTCACACGGTTATTTGTTTGTTTTGCTTTTTGGGGTCACACCCGGTGATGCACAGGGGTTCCTCATGGCTCTGCACTCAGGAATTACTTCTGGCGGTCGTCCGGGGACCATATGGGATGCTGGGAACCCGGGTTGGCCGCGTGCAAGGCAAATGCCCTACCCGCTGTGCTATTGCTCCAGCCCCTTCTTTGTTTGTTTTGTTGGTTGGTTGGTTGGTTTTTGGCTTTTTTGAGTCACACCCAGCGATGCTCAGGGGTTACTCCTGGCTCTGCACTCAGGAATTGCTCCTGGTGGACACACGGTCATTTAAAATTGTGAACGGCGGGGGCCTGGGGTTCCCCCCTCTCCCCCAGCCTCATCACATCCCCCCTGCTCCCCCCCCTCCAGGCCGCCAGTCAAAGCCGGTCTCCCCCCCACCAGGTCCCTTCCCAGCAGAGGCCAGGGGCAGGGGCAGGGGAGAGGGCGCCCCCTGCAGCTCACCTGTGGAAAAGCCCATTTTCTTGTGGCACTTGGTAAATTCGATATTAAAATAGGTGACCAGCGCGTGCACGTAGTCGTTGCGCTGGATCTGCAGGCAGAAGGCAGACGTGAAGGACAGCTCCTCCGTCTTCACCGTGTAGATGTCCACCTCCTGCAGCCAGAGCACAGGGCGAGAATGCTCGCGCTGGGTGTCCCCACACCCCGAGACCCCGCCCCGCTCCCCTGCTGGAAAGAGCATGCTCAGGACCCCGGAGCCCTGGAGGAGTGGGCGGGGTGGGGGGGGGAGATGCACAGGGCACGGAGAAGTTGGGGAGGGGTGCTCAGGAGATACCCCCATGTCTGCCCCCCGATGCACACTGGCGTCACGTGGGGTTGGGGCAGGGCCAGGGCAACCCTCCCACCCCCCCACGTGACCACTGCTTGATTGAGCTCTCTCAGGAGTCTGGGGTACCCGGCCCATGTGTTAGGATGCCCCGCCAATAGAAAAACGAACCAAACCAGAAGGGGACCAGAGTGGTGGTACAGTGGGCGGGAGGCTCGCTTGGCACGTGGCCAGCCCTGGTCGGATTCCCAACCCTGGTCCGATGCCCAGGATCCTCTCTATGCCCCCCTGAGCCCCGCCAGGAGTGACCCCTAAGCACAGAAGCAGGAGGAAGCCCCTGAACATGGCTGGGTGTGGCCCCCAAACAAATAAACACACAAAACCCCAAGGATGCTCAAATTATCATTTCAGGAGTGAGGAGCTGGGGGGAACTGGGGGAGGGGAGGATGAATGGGAGGAACAGCTGGGTTCAAGGCTGAGCCCCCAAGACTCAGGGGGCTGAGGGCAGCGACTCCTCCCTCCCTCCTCAAACGTGCTGGACTCAACATCCAGGCACTATATCAAATGCAATACGTCAGGGGCCACTGGGCAAGCTAATTGCCAGCCAGCCGGGGAGAGTGAGGAACCAGAACAGCCTGTCGGACTGTTGTGGGCCTGGGAGGGAATCTCCCCCCGAAAGGCGTTCAGTCCTCGTCTCCCTTCTCTCGTAAGGGATAGGAGCTTAAGCCTGATTGTGATAAACGGTGTCTTCTCCCTTGCAGAAGCTCCAGGGCCCTTGGTGGTCTCTGTCTGTCTTGTCTTTTCATACAGCTCCTCATACTCATCCTCCCTCTAGAGGCTGCCCTCCTGCTCTGTCTGGGGCGATGCGCGTGAGGCTGGGCGGACTGCCACGGCCGGCTCTCTTGCCGGCTCCCTGGACCCCACGTGTCAGGACGACAAGGAACAGAGCCTGGAACTGCACTGGGGGCGGCACTTTCGAACATGCTTGAGCGGTTTGTTTCTTCTTTACAGGAAGAAAAGAAAGGGGGGAAATATGGAACCGGAGAGATTGTACAGTGGGCAAGCCGCCTAGCTCCTAGGGTTGGTTGGCCCCTGTCCCTCCCATCTGGTCCTCCGAGTACCATCAGGAGTGACCCCAGAATATAGAGCCAGGAGCAAGCCCTGAGTATCACCCCAAGCAAAGCAAAACAAATCATCACCACAACCCGGGGCAAATATGTTCCCACGTGGGAGCATAGTCTGGCGGGTGGCAAAGGCCAAGGGGGTTGATGCCCATCTGTGCCCTTGGGTTTCCCTGGGGGAGTGGCAGGCGGTGTAGGGCACGGGCATCACGGGAAAGGGCAGTGTCCTGGGAGGACCTGGGCAGGGAGCAGGGCGTAGGGGGCCGGACCCCACTGGGCTGCCCTTCCTAGAACCCAGAGGCGTCTGAATGGCTTTTGGGGAAATGTGCCCCTCAGAGGAGCGTGGGAAGGAGGCTACTCGGTCCTAGAGATTTTGGAAGAGCCGGGTGGTCACCTGCAGGCTGAGGACAGTGCCCGGGGTGCTCCCGAGAACTGAGAGGGGGGAATATGGGAGACAAAACTGCACGTGGAACAGGGCTCTTAGGGGCTGGAGCAATAGGACAGCAGGAAGGCATTTGCCTTGCACACGGCCGACCCGGGTTCGATTCCCAGCATCCCACAGGGTCCCCCGAGCACCGCCAGGAGTCATTCCTGAGTGCAGAGCCAGGAGTAAGCCCTGTGCATGGCCAGGTGTAACCCAAAAAGACAAAAAAAAGGAATAGAGCTGCTGAGATGTGACAAAGATTTGAACTCTGGCACTATATCTGTTCCCCTGAGCACCACCAGGGGTGATTTCTCAGTTCCGAGCCATGTGTGGCCCTTAAACAATACTGGGTGTAGCACTGTCGCACTGGGTGTAGCACTGTCCCCTTGTTTATCGATTTGCTCGAGCGGGCACCAGTAACGTCTCCATTATGAGACTTGTTGTTACTGTTTTTGGAATATTGAATACGCCACGGGGAGCTTGCCAGGCTCTCCATGTGGGCGGGATATTCTTGGTAGCTTGCTGGGTTCTCTTAGAGGGATGGAAGAATCAAACCCGGATCAGCTGCATGCAAGGCAAATGCCCTATTTGCTGGTGTAGCCACCAAAAATTGAAAGGGTGACAATGGGTCATTGGGGACCGGAGTTGGGCACGGCCATGGCCAAGCTACATCAACACTGACCCCTCTGGGCTCAGGGCTGCCCCCCACTATGGCCCCCGACTCTCTAGAGGGGCAGGTCCGATGACCCCGATTCCCCAGAGCCCAGGCTCCTTCCCTGGAGGGTCCTTTCTGCAGTAGCGACCCCCAGGGAGTCCAGGCATGGCCTCAGGCGACCCCCGAGAAGTCGAGGGGGGTCTTGTGGGATCAGGTCCTCCTAGGAAGACAACAAACACCCCCCCACCCCCACCACTGCTAGGTAATGTCACTGACGGCAGTGTCAGAGCAGGAGTCTGGTCCAAATAGAGTCTTAATTATAATAAAGTGTCACACTCCACGTTAATCGCAATGAAAATAGCAATTAAGGGTGTGAAGAAGGGCAAGTGTTTTCCCAACAGGCTCAGCACGACGGCAGCAATGCGGTCGCTGAGCACATTAGGGCGAGCGCAGCCTGCGGTTCCCCGGCTGGTAGGGAAAGCAGCCCAGCTGCCTGGTTCCCGGGGACAGAGAGAGAGAAAGGTCACCGCGTTCCCGGCTGGAGTGGGGGAGGGCAGACTTGCAAGCACGACACTCCCCGCTCACCCCCGGCTGCTCCTGGGTTGGGTTTGAAAGCTCTGGGCTGGCCGTGGTCACCATTAGTCAAGGGAGAGACGCTTGCGTTTCCTGGCTGGGAGGGGACAGAGGAAGGAAGGGGTCTGGGGTGCAGCCTGGGGTGGGTGGGGGAGAGGCAGGCTAGCAGGTGACATCAGGTGCCAGGGCCAAAACAGGTCAGGCCTGGAAAACCAGCCACCCCTCCCTACCACATTCATAGCTGGCAGGAATTCTTTTTTTTTTTTTTTTGCTTTTTTCCTTTTTGGGTCACACCCGGCGATGCACAGGGGATCCTCCTGGCTCTGCACTCAGGACTCACTCCTGGTGGTGCTCAGGGGACCCTATGGGATGCTGGGAATCGAACCCGGGTCGGCCACGTGCAAGGCAAATGCCCTACCTGCTGTGCTATCGCTCCAGCCCCCTAAAAATCATTTTCCCCCTTTTTTGTGATGCTCAGAGGTTACTCCTGGCTCTACACTCAGGAATCACTTCTGGCAGTGCTCAGGGGACCCAATGGGATGCTGGGAATCGAACCCGGGTCGGCCACATGCAAGGCAAATGCCCTACCGGCTGTGCTAATGCTCCAGTCCTGGCAGGAATTCTGTCCCCAGCTGGAGCCTGTCCACACCCTGGGTAGCTGACACTGCACCGTCCAGTTCCTCCCGCTGCACCCCCTCTTGTGGTCTGTTCTGCCTGCACCATAGGTCTCCCTGCACGAGAGAGCTTGCTGGGGGAGGCACCCAGCCGGGGCTGGTCTGAGGCGTGCCCGGGGAGAGGCTTTGGGGGTAGAGTAGCGAAGAATAGACAACAACACAGACACATCTGTTTGCCACAGTCAACGACCCCATGTAGACTCATTTGGAAGCAGCGAAGGGGCTTGGGAAACAGCTTCACGGCTTCTGAGGCTCGCCCGGCCGGCCTGAGGTCACACGCTCCAACGGCCAGCGCTTCCTAAAGGGATCAAGGGGACCCTGGATCCAGACAGCTCCCCACTGACTGGGATTTCTGCCCCGGGAAAGGCAAACTCATAAACATAAAAGCTGCAGCAGCAGAGAACAAGAGTTCAGGATGCATCCAAGCTGATCTTCTCTGGCAAGAGGTGGCACTTGGACCCAGATGGGATGGCCTCTGCGGCTTTTTTTTTTCTTTTTGGGTCACACCCGGCGATGTTCAGGGATTACTCCTGGCTCTGCACTCAGGAATTACTCCTGGCGGTGCTTGGGGGACCCTATGGGATGCTGGGAATCGAACCCGGGTCAGCTGTGTGCAAGGCAAACGCCCTACCCGCTGTGCTATTGCCCCAGCCCCTGTCTCTGCGGCTTTTGCTGGACCTATGAGGCCACAGTGATTCTAAAGAGTAGGTTGGGGCATCGCAGGGAAGCCAGGGTCCCCTCTGTGGCACCCCAGCATAGAGCCATTTGTGCCAACCCCTCAGAACCCCCATTCCCACCCCCTGATTCGGACCTTTGTCCTTGACTCCGTACAGGCAGAGAGGGACGTGGGTTTCAACCTGAGCAGCACAGACAGACTGATGGATACTTACAGAATGAACCCAGATTGCTTTTGTTTTGTTATCTTTGGGGGGGGGGGTCACGCCTTGCAGTGCTCAGGGCTTACCCCTGGCTCTGCGCTCAGGGGATCATTCTTGGCGGTGCTCCGGGCCCTCAGTCCTGAGATGTTGGAGTCCTGCCAGAGGCATGGCCACAGTTTTGGCACATGGGGGCAGCTGCCAGGGCCTGGACAGAGTGGGCGCTGGCCCACACCCCTTCCTGAGAGAGCCCTGGAACCTCTCCACCGGGAACCTTGGAGGGACTTGGGCCATTTGGGGTGCCAGGGGTAGAATGCAGGTCAACTGCATGCAAGGCAAAAGCCCTACCCCTCTGTACTCTTGCTCCCAGGATGTTTTTATTAACTTAAAAAATTAGCCTGAGGGGCTGGAGCAATAGCACAGTGGGTAGGATGTTTCACGCAGTCAACCCAGGATCCCAGCATCCCATAGGGTCCCCCGAGCACCGTCAGGAGTAATTCCTGAGTACATGAGCCAGGAGTAACCCTTGTGCATCGCCGGGTGTGACCCAAAAAGCAAAAATAAATAAATAAATATAAAAAAGAATAACCTGAACCCTATGAAACTCCTGTCTTTCTAAAATTAAAAAAAAACTCAAATATCAGCAGTTTTGTGTTAATTTGACATACTTAAGAAAGGCATTTATCAAATGGTTGGAAATATTGGATGCAAACAATGATTCTCTGTAGGAGGAGGCCCAGGGAGGCAGACGAAGAGGCACTTGGATGGTCACTACAATGTGGGGTGTTGAAACATTTGATTCAAGAGAGGTGGACATCCAGGAAGAGGCTTCCTGATGGTACTTCAGGAGCTAAAAAAAATCAACACGTGTGTGGAATGACTGAGAACCCTAACACAAAACAAAATCAGAAATGTTTCGAGAGGCAAAAATGGGCCTGAAAAATCAAGAAATGTTTGGAAGGGCAACATATATTTGGAAGGAAAACATCTGCGAGAGCTAGCGCAATAGTACAGCAGACAGGGTACTTGCCCACTTGCCTTGCATTCAGCTGGGTTCAATGCCCACCATCCCATATGGTCCTCTGAGCCCCATCAGGACCGATTCCTGAGCACAGAGTCTGAAAACTGCCAGGGAGTATTCTCTCCGTTCACCCCCCCCCCCCCCCACAAATTTCCTGCACCCAGTTCAGGACAAACGCCAGACCCTGTCCACTCAAGTCCTTCTCCTGGACAGTTCCTTAGCAACAACCCTCAGGCCAAGGCAATATAGCTTGGAAGAAGAAGAAAAAAAACTACTTTAAAATCAGCTTCCGAAACAGCTCTGCACATTCTGTCCTGGAACCTGCAAAGCCCTGTCATGGTGTTCTTAATTCTTTTCTTTCTCTTTATGTTGTTCTTCCTCTTGTCTCCTCTTTCCTATTTCTAAATAAAACTCCTTGTTCCACTGTCTTCTCCAAACTTTTTTTTGTGTATGTTTTGGGGCCCCTCCAGCAGTGCTCAGAGGCTACTCCTGGCTCTGTGCCGTGGGGTCACTCCTGGCGATGCTCAGGGGACCATGTCATACTGAAACTCAAACCAGGCCGGGCTCTGGCGCTTTGAGCCCCCTGCCTGGCACCTTGGAAATTCTTTTCCGCAACATCAAGGCAAAAGCTTGAACAGATGGAGACTCAGCCAGCTCCAGGGACTGGCTTCTGACGCAATTCTGGTCTCCTGGCTCTCAACCTTATCACAGCAAGAATTGCACTAAGGTTCTGGGTGTCCTTGTAGCCGGCCACCATAATTCACCACACATGGGAGAAAGTTCTGGAAGGAAGGAACTCGGCGCTGCTCCCAAACAGCTAAGCCTGGGAAGGAGGGCCATGGCCATTGCACTCTCGGCAGGATGTAGTGACCATCACGGCGCCCTCAGAGGCAGGGGACTGCTTTTCTCTGAAGCCCCCACCCCAGAAGGAAGGCAGCCCTGGCCTCCCCATAGCTGAGCACAGCCCCCTTCCCCCTGCACCCCACCCAAGCCTTTGGCCTTCCCCAGCTCCCCTCATCGGTGCCACAATGGCTCTGCTCCAGGAGTGCACCCGTGTGATTTTGTCTGCCCATCGTGGGGTGCCAGAGATCCCCAAGGCCAAAGTGACCTCCCCAGCCCGGCCCCGTCGGAGGTGATGCCATCCTGGCTCCAGGCCCTCACTTCAGCTGGGTGCCCCGAGTTCCCGCCTGCCTCTGCGGGGCTGTGCAGACCTTGATCAAGCAGGCGTTGGTCACCACCTGCTTTGGGTCCACAATGTCCACCAGCGGCTCCTTCATGGCGACGTCCCGGATGCAGGTCATGTCAAAGCCATAGACATTCTCCCACCCTGTGCAAACGGAGCGAGACATCAGAGACAGCAGCAGGACCTGTGGGTGCCCCCACCCACCTTCCTGAGTACTGGAGCACTCAGAACCTGAGCACGTAGCACTAGGGTACCGAGTACTAGAGTACTGGATACTTGAGAAGTGCTGAGTACCAGAGAACCTAGTACTGGACACCACAGCACGAAATACTTGGGTACTATAGAGCACTGGGTACTTGAGTATTGGGTACTAAGTACACTGAGCATTAGAGTACCGGTTACTAGATGATCAGGCACTAGAGCACTGGGTATGTGAGCACTGAACACTACAACATCGAATCCTAGAGCGCAAAGAACTGGAGACAGGATACTAGAGAACTGGGTAACAGAATGTTCCCGAGAGGGGCCGCCCAGATTCCCTCTCCCACAGCCCCCCGTATCATGGCGGAAGAATCGTGTGTCTACATGGGGAGTTTGGCAATCCACAGATCCAGGTCCAATTCTACATTGTTTCCATCGTGTTTTGGCCATACTCAGCTTTCTCTCGGGGCTCAGGACTCTTTCCTGGCTCTGTGGCCAGTCTAGGGCCCTCACTGGTGATTCTCAGCAAACCGGGCCTAGGGAGTCAATGCAAGGGTGCAGGTCACTCCTGGCAGCGCTACCACAGGGAGTGCCTGGCATCGAACTGGGGCTGGCTGCATGCAGGGCAAATGCCTCACCCCTGCACACACATTCTCTCTCTGTCTCTCTCTGTCTCTCTCTCCTCTCTCTCTTTTTCTCTCGCTCTTTCTCCGCCTCCCCCCATTCCTGCTTTATGGAGAGGATGACCACTGGCCCTCAAGGACTGAGGACTCTCCCCCAGGTGACAGGGCAGGAGTCCCGGCTCCTGGCTGGACCCAGCTCCCTCGTCCGCTCTGAGCTGGCAGGCCGTGTCGAGTTCCGAGACCCACTCTTTACTCTACCTATTCTCAAGTCAGCCTCCCCCACGCGGATGCCCCCTCCCTCTTCTCCCCGCCCCCCCTCCCCCACTGACCCTTCCCTGCAGCAGAGACACAGGCAGGTTTGAAAGCGGACACTGCAACTGGACCCCAGCACTGCTACCTGCTGGCCAGCCCTGGGTCACTCACCCCCCCACTCTCCAGTGCTTCTGAATTTCAGGTTTCTCAGATACAAAACAACAGACTGGGGCAGGTGTATGTATGGGGGAGGCGGGGCGGAGGGGACACAGGTCCTGCTGCCGGAAACAGTCCCCAAGCAGGACCCAGATCATTCCCGTGGCGTCTCGAGTCCCAGAGGGGGAAAGGGGGCCGCTGGGCAGAAGATGCTTTGAGAGAGAGGAAGATTCAGAGTTCACTGTGGTCAATAAGCAAAAGGAGGGACGGACAGGTGTGGGTCACCTGCAGTGAAGGCCACCCTTGCTCCCAGGGCTGACCCCAAGCCAAGCCGAAACCCCCATTTATTTATTTGTGGGAGGCAAGGCCTCCCATGCAGTTGCTCAGGAGGTTCTGGGATCCCCACCAGCGATTCTCAACCAATTAGGCCTGGAGTTTCAATGCAGCGACCCAAGGAGGTCACGGTGCACTGGCACTGTGTTTCTGGGGAGGCCCAGGACACCTCGGCAGGGACAGGGAGGGAGCGGGTCCTCACCGAGCAGTGTCTAGGGGCTTCCAGGAATGTACCCAGTAATGCCTGGGGGCTGTGTGGTATCAAACCTGGGCTGGCCCGATGTCACACGCCAACCCTCCAATGGGACTCAGTCACACGCACGGCCCCACCCCCCTCATCTGCAATGACACAGTTGTGACAAGGACCAGGATGGCAGAAGGGGCCCTGAGCTCTCTACAGCTCTCAGGCCCACAGACGCCCTGTGACTGACGCTTCTGCTCCTTCAGATGAATTCTGAAATGCAAGGGAGACTTTGCATCTCTTGAAAATCTCACAGAGGGGGCTGGAGCGATAGCACAGTGGGTAGGGCATTTGCCTTGCACACAGCCGACCCGAGTTTGGTTCCTAGCATCCCATAGGGTCCCCCGAGCACTGCCAGGAATAATTCCTGAGTGAATGAGCCAGGAGCAACCTCTGTGTATCTCTGGGTGTGACCCAAAAAGCAAGGAAAAAGAAAAAAAAAAAAGAAAATCTCACAGGATGACTTTTTTTTTTTTCCCATTTTAAATAATCATCAAATGGTGCCTTGGGGAAGTTCTGTTCCCAAAGGTGCTGGGATGGGGGGTGAGGAGAGGGGTGTGAGAAAGCTTCAACCTGTGCCCCCTTGACTCCGACCCCCTTCCCAGACACAGAGACCTTCCCTGGGGAGAAGCTGGAAAGGCAACATCTCCCAGAGGGCGAGAGATCCAAGTTCCTGGTCAAGATGCCAGGACATCACCCGAGGCCACCGCCGAGTCCCAAGCTGTTTGGCAACTAGCCAGGCTTCAGAGAAGGACCCGCCGGCCACCCTTTGAGCATGGGAAACCGCTCTCAGATGGTCTCCCCTTCTAGAACACGCAGAGAACGTTGCTTGCCCGTTTTTGAACCCACGCTTGAAAAGACATTTCGCGCTCCTGTGTTCATCGCAGCACTATTCACCAGAGCCAAGATCTGGAAACAAGCCAAGGGGCCCAGAACGGACGAGTGGATAGGGACACGGTGGTTTATATGCACATGATGGAATTAGGCTCATCTCTGACGAAGGAGGAGAGGATGACGGACACTGCCCCGTGGAGGGCACTGGACGGGATCCTATGGAGTGACATCAGGTCAAGGGGGAGGGACACACAGAATGACCTCTCTCATGGGTGGGGCATAAAAGGACCCAGGGAGGGGCTGACAAATGGCCAATAGCAGTAGAGCCTGAGAGTCAGCCTGTGGGACCGAGTCAGCCAGGGGAGTGGGCTTGGGGTTGGGGGTGTAAGGGGGACCTTCAGACTGTGGTGAGAGACCCGGACAACAGTGGTGGAAAGAGCATAGTGTTGGGACACTGCACGCCTGATGTGAGCCATGGAACCCACAGACACATTAAAACTAAGATAAATTGAAAATAAAAGGCTTCCTGGGGCCAGAGAGGGAGACAGTATAGCAGACAGGGCGCTTGCTTTGTGTGTAGTCAACCTAAGATCGATCCCCGGCATCCCATAGATGCCAGGAGTAATTTCTGAGCGCAGAGCCAGGACTAAGCCCTGAGCATCGCTGATGTGGCCCCGTAATTTAAAATAATCAATCAATCAATCAATCAATCAATCAAGGCCTTCCTCCCCAAACTAGCAGTCCCTGTTCTCCCTTGCACACATATTTCGTTTGTTTGTCCGTCTCTTGGCTTGCCTAGTTGCGCTCTGGAGAAGCCTGTGTTCTCTCTAGAACTAGTACTGCTCCCTTTCTCTCCCTTCATTATCTCTCTAAGTAAATTTTTCTATTAACAACAATAGGCTGGAGCGATAGCACAGCGGGTAGGGCATTTGCCTTTCATGCAGCTGACCCGGCCGACCCAGGTTCAATTCTTCCACCCCTCTCGGAGAGTCTGGCAAGCAACTGAGAGTATCTTGCCCGCACGGCAAAGCCTGGCAAGGTCCCCGTGACGTATTCGATAGGCCAAACACAGTAACAACAAAGTCTCCAATGGAGACATTACTGGGCCCGCTCAAGCAAATTGATGAACAATGGAATGACAGTGACAGTGATTAACAACAACAACAAAAACAACCCCGCAGCTGTCTCCTGTTCCTTCCTGCTCTTGGACCTGTCTGGAGTTAATGTTCACCGTGAGCAAATACAGGAGAACCAGGCAGGTGATGGGTGGTTCTAGTCTGCTTTGGAATTCGAAATATTACTTGCTATTGAACCAGAGAGATTGTACGGTGGGTAAGTCTTGCACACTGCCAATGCAGGTTCAATCTCCAGCCCCACCAGGAGTGATCCCTGAACACAGAGCCAAGAGCTTACAGCTGAGTGTGGTCCCCAAACAAAAAACGAACAATAACTCCTGCCACACACACACACACACACACACACACACACACAATGTCATTTGCTGTAAACTTAGGCAGAATCAAAACTCCTAAAAACTTGTTTCTTTCTAAAAATAGAGATGGTGCGTCTGGAGGAGCAGCACACTGGGTTAAAGAGCCTGCCTGGCAAGCGTGTGGTCCCGAGTTCAAATCCCTGGGGCCCCACATGCCCCAGGAGCCATCATGATGGGTCTCCTGCCCTGTTTGATCCCGACATCTCTGCGGTCTGTGGTCCTCAGCATTCAAGGCTAAGACCAGTCCCTTAATTTGGTGTCAGGGGTGGTGCTCACAACTAGGAAAAGGAAATATGTGGGAGCACCACAGCCAGGATGAGCACGTGGGCAAGCACCATAGCTAAAGGCGTGAGGACCACAGGGAGTGCCACAGTGAAAGCACGGGAGCCTTGTGCGTGACAACCCAGCAGGCACCCCAGAAAGCAATGCGGGAGCACCACAGCTAATGATGTGGGAGCACGACAACTATGTGTCAGGACTGCAGCCATGTGGGAGCACCACCCATATGTGAGAACGCCACAGATGTGTGAGCACAGCTAACTCTGGGGGCGCCAGAGCTAACTTTATGTGTGGGCACCAGAGCCATTGGAAGCACAGACGCTAACTGGGAGCACCACAGTTATGTGAGAGCATCACGGCTGATTATATGGGAGCACCACGGATAACTATATGGGAGCACCACAGCTATACGTGAGCGCAGCTAACTGTGGGAGCAGCACAGTTAACTATGTGGGAGCACCACCATAGTTATGTGGGAGCATAGCTAACTGTGGGAGCCTCATAGTTATGTGGGAGCACCACCAATAACTACATGGGAGCACCACAGCTAACTATGAGGGAGCACCATAGTTATGTGGGAGCATCACCGATAACGGTGGGAGCACCACAGCTAACTATGCGGGAGCACCAGTTATGTGGGAGCACTACCGATAACTATGTGGGAGCACCACAGCTATGTGGGAGCATCACAAATGACTATGTGGGAGCACCACCATGAGGCATGTACTGAATC